TCTTTCTTTTAATTTTTGTAATAAACAACAAAACTGGTTTGATTACAGGAGGAATCTCAAAGGAGTTGAAAGATGATTGTTATAAATAAACCTGCAAATTTCAACCTCAAATTAGACCTGTTATGGTGTTTATAACTCACACCTTCCTTTGTGTAGTTTCTCAGATTTGATAGCATTTTTTATTCATTTAAATATCAATTTGCAACCCCGGTCTGTGTTGTATACATATTTTAATTTCACTTTGATAAGAATTCTAAAAGTACATGTCAATTAGGCCTTATGAACACTGAATGGACGTGTGAAATATAAAAAAAAAAAAAGAAATAATAATATCTCTGTAATACTTAAATTCATTCAACTAAAAATTAGTTCTTTAGGAAAAATTAGTTAGCTGTAGGAAACAGCTAGTTAGGCAGTTTTGGGTATAAATGAAATCAATCATAGCATCTAACTTGAAAAAAAAAGGTTTTAATGTGTTTTCAACAATTTTCAGTTAAATTATATTCTTTAGTCAGGCTACCAACCTTTATGTTTTTGAAATGTATTTTATTGAGTGTTAGACAGTTAAAAATAGAAAGTTTCAGAATCTTGATTAATTTTGCCAACATTGCTTAATATTGCATGTCTTGCCATAAAAAATTAGAGCAAAATGGCTTTTCATATTAACTTTTGAATTATTCATGTGTAGTGAGTTAAAAATAATTTTAAATTAAATTTACATGAACGAAGAATCTTACATTAAAACATAAAGTTTGCTACCACTATAAGAAATTTTTCCAAAATTATGGAAAGTTGGCTACCCTGCTTTAATTATGCATCATTTTGCTTTTTTTTTGCAAAAGAAATAGGGTTTTTTAAAATTATATCAATTAAAAATGTACTTTTAATCCTATTTATTAGAAACTGCATGGAGAAATTGTTTTGTTGCTGTTTATTTTTGTGAAATATTTTCANTTATGGTGTTTATAACTCACACCTTCCTTTGTGTAGTTTCTCAGATTTGATAGCATTTTTTATTCATTTAAATATCAATTTGCAACCCCAGTTTGTGTTGTATACATATTTTAATTTTACTTTGATAAGAATTCTAAAAGTACATGTCTATTAGACCTTATGAACACTGAATGGATTTGTGAAATATTAAAAAAAAGAAAAAAGAAATAATAATATTTCTGTAATACTTAAATTCATTCAACTAAAAATTAGTTCTTTAGGAGAAATTAGTTAACTGTTGGAAACAGCTAGTTAGGCAGTTTTGGGTATAAATAAAATCAATCATAGCATCTAACTTGAAAAAAAAAGTTTTAATGTGTATTCAGCAATTTTCAGTTAAATTATATTCTTTAGTCAGGCTACCAACCTTTATGTTTTTGAAATATATTTTATTGAGTGTCAGACAGTTAAAAATAGAAAGTTTCAGAATCTTAATTTTGCCAACATTGCTTAATATTGCATGTCTTGCCATAAAAAATTGGAACAAAATGGCTTTTCATATTAACTTTTGAATTATTCATATGTAGTGAAGTTAAAAATAATTTTAAATTAAATTTACATGAACAAAGAATCTTACATTAAAACATAAAGTTTGCTACCACTATAAGAAATTTTTCCAAAACTGTGGAAAGTTGGCTACCCTGCTTTAATTATGCATCATTTTGCTTTTTTTTTGCAAAAGAAATAGGGTTTTTTAAAATTATATCAATTAAAAATGTACTTTTAATCCTATTTATTAGAAACTGCATGGAGAAATTGTTTTGTTGCTGAATGAGTTATCTTATTTTTGTGAAATATTTTCATGCATTACTTAATTAACCTGTTTTTATCGCAAAGATGTGGGAGTACCAATTACAACTAAATTAGCCCTCGGCTACAATGTCTTAGAGTATTGGCTTTTTATGGATTTTAATGTGGACCACTTACATATGCATGTCTGCATGATGCTCGATGTTTTATTTATTTTTTGAAAAATGATTTCCTCATTTTGCAGGTGCAATATTTAAATGACATAATCATATTTAACTGACTTAATTGAATCATAAAAACTGAGTGAGCTGTATTTTTCATGTTAGGTAGCAATATTTAAATAGTTATATAGTTATTCTATAAAAAAATTAAATTAATTACTTTTTTTTTTGCTTGTGTAAGAAATATTCAAAGTTTTCGTTGTCTGTGCGTCTAGTATTACCAATGATACAATGATGTACACTAACATTTGCAAACCAGATCTTTTTAATTAATATATTAATGAATGATATAGTTATAATGATATAGTTATAAGGTAATGATATCAATATACTTTGCTTTTCATTCTGTTTTTGTCAATGGAATTGTTTTTTAATCTTGGGTCAACTGTTTATATGTATACATATATAAATATGTTACTGTGAATTACCGAAATCGGTGACTGCTGACTTTCACCGGTGAATATTGACAATCTCATAGTTGGTAAATGTTCCAAATACATACTAGATCTAGTTAAGTGCCACTGTCTGTTATACTTTTGCCTGATATCTGAATACTGATGTTTCTACTAATCGTTCCTTAGCAGACATTATAATATTGAATAAATATAATAATATCAAAGAATAAATTAATATCAAATTGGATATAGAAAAATATTTCGGACATTCTCCAAAGTGACTATGTGATTGTTGATATCCACAGATAAAAGTCGACATTCTCTCGATTTCGGTCATTCACTGTATCATATGTATAGTTTTGCTTTTCTTCTTGCTTTTGTCCCTTTCCCTCTCTTCTTGTAAATATTCTGCCTACTTACAGGTTTTTCTTCAATATTTTTCCAATGATTTTATGATCATTCATTTCTATTTATTCTTCTGCATAAGAAAAATGTATTTAACAAGAGTCCTGCAACCGAAACATGTCACTCCCACAATACTTAATAACTATTATTAAAATATTGAATTATTTTTTTGTGTGTCAGTAATTCACTGTATCTTAATAAACTATTTTTGAATACAAAATTTCATAACTTACAGTCATACTTAATTAAAATTTTTCTGTTGAGGTATAAATGTAACTTTTTGTTGTGGGTGTAACTATAAAAGTAAAGTTAAATAAATTTACCTTTTGTAACGAAGATTAATGAACACGTTTCTGCATAGCTGTAAGATTATTTATATAAGTTCAGAGATTTGCTGAATAATTTCCTCAGTTACATAAGTCCATGAAACTTAAAGATTTTTGACACAGTCTTTTTCACACTGATATAGTGTCTCTTTATAAATTGAAATAAACAAGTTGATGACAAAAATTTCATTAAAATATGGAACAGTATGCACAGTTAACATGCTAAATTTCAACCATATTTAAGGAAATTTAAATTTACATGCTTATATCCTCTATCTTGTGGATAGAGCAACTTATGATATTTTTTAATGTTATATTTTTTTGTAATATATAATGATTTAAAGCATATTAACTGTACAAATATAAAGATACTATACATATATAAAGATTAAAGTGCTATATAGGTCTATCTTACCATCTCAAGTGTTTTCTGATAATTTTTTTGTTTCAGAAATATGATTATGAGAGCTCATCATCTGAAGGTAAAATCGAATGAAGGTAGTTTTTAAAAATGATTCATAATTATGATTCTTTTTTTACTGACCTTTTATTTATTTTCATTTAAAAATTTTCTTTTTGTATTTAAAAACTTGTTTTATTTTCTTTTTTAAACAAAAGCTTATTTTTTAATATACATCATTAGCAGTTATTTTTTTCCCCAGTGCAATTGCTTGACCAATAGCATTAAAAATTGTTCAAAACCCAAAATAATTTTTATTTTATCTTACAGAATATAAAGATATGTGTCATTTAGAAATCTCGTAATACTTCATATTCACCATGTAAACTTACCAACCAGCTATTGTTATAAATCTTAAAAGAGAATAAAAATTATTATAGTTGTTTTCCAATAAATATTATTCATTTTTTGTAATGTGTAATATCAACACATTAGCAGTTTTTGCTTAAATGAACTTTTTTTTTAAAGCTAGAAAAGAAGGATTTTTAAATTGTAAAAATTTGCAATTTTTTAACTATATAACATTTCAAATTTTTGTCAATCCACTACCTACTTTCTGTTAAGGGTTATTTTTATATATGTATATTTTTCAATCTTTTAATGAGATACTCTCAGCTGAATTACCTTTCTTTAAATGATATTATTATTTGTCATAACCAATAAATAGTTGCTTACTTTTTACTGATTTAAAGCAACATTTTTTTTATTTTTCAGTTTTTATATATTTCAGTTTATTTTTGATACCTTTTAAATCTTTAATATTCTTTTGTAACTTACTTATATTTTAAGGTATATTTTGCATGACAAACTTTTTTCTTCTTTTTTTGTATTAAATAAACTGACGATTGATTATATTGCTATCCATATCAACACTATTACTCAATATACTTGAACACTTTTGTCCAAAAAAAGACCCTCCAGTCACAGTTTTTCACAATATATTATTTAGGTAACATTTTTCCTGTAAAGAAAAACTATCTTATCCTACTAAAACTTGATTCAAATGATCATTTAAATGATAATGATAATTACAAGAAATTAAATACTTACAAAAAATTAGAAATACCAATTTATTAATCAAACATTTATTATTTTGAATGCCTATAATTTTTTTATTCTCTATTTTTTCAGTTAATAATTCAAGGACCCATATTGACAAAACTTATTTAAAAAGCGCTAGGGAGACAGATTTTGGAAGATCCAAAAAGTCCATCTAGTCCCCAACTTCTTTTGACACCAAGTATAGAAAATATGTGTTCCTTTCATATGGTAAATATATATGGTGATAAATTTAATTATTATCCTGTTTTTTAAGCTACTTGTAAACAACCTTTGACTGATTGAGTGCTTGGGATGCCTAAAGGTTTGTTTTAATCCATTTTACTCTCTCTCTCTCTCTCTTAAACTCTTTTTCTTCTTTATTACTCAATGTGAAAGATGTATATTGAGGAGAAATGTCAAAACAAATTGACTCAGTAGCAAAATGCTCTCCCTGTATAGATTATATAAATTGTGAACAAAGAATTGTAAGTTATTAATTTGTAACATAAGACCAAAAGAGTATATTGCATAGCTGTCAACTCTATTGGATTTAACATAATTACTAACATAGTAATAACATAACTTACGTTCATTTAAACTATGTACCCTAATTTGGTTCTTGATCATTTTTACTACTGGCTAAATTAATCTAGATATTAATATAATAAATATCCGGCTATTCCAAAATTGTTTCTCCCTTTCTTCTTGCACATTTGTGAGAATAATGAAATCAATTTTAAGGTAATCTTATCATTTGTGTGTATGTGAACATCAGATAGCAGAAAGAAATACTGTTGTTATTTACTTTGTATAGCAAAATAACTATAAATCAAATAAATAAGGATTTAAAAAGATTCTTAAGTCTACCGAGTAATGACACTTTTATTTATCCAGAGCTGAATGTGCTCCTGAAAAAATCTGGATTTCCGGATATTTCAGTAACAGTGATCCGGAGATTGAAGGTCCAGACGTTTAAAAAAATCATTGATCACAGAAGTTTCTGGAAATCAAATTTTCAAAGGTGAAACTTAAAAACACAGTTTATTTTATTTGTTTGTAAGGGAGAGTCAGAGAGATACTTCATAAGCTTATATTCATGATTATTTATCAGATGATTTTTTATCAGTAAATAGTTATTATAATCATAAACTCAAGAAAGAAAGACATATTTGTAAATTTTAATTACTTTTCCAGGTCATCATAGGTATGTGTAAATGTAAAATTTTAAATATATGTTAAGTAAACTAAGAAATATTGAGAAAAAGGAAGAAAAAAAACCTTGTTTAAATTTTTTTCTAATTTTTAAATTTAAACTTTTTTTTGCACAAATAATTTTTTAAATAAATAAAAGTTTACTTCTTGCTTGTTACTTTTGATCAAACTGCCAGACTCTACACAAAATAAAAATTAGAAGTAGGAGCGCACAATAATTTTTGATTAACTAGCCATAAAAACTTAAAAATACCATGTTGATCTTAATACAAAGCTGTAATTCTAAGAAGGAAGCTTGTTTTTAAATTCCATTTGAAAGTAAGATGAAGGTGTTACTAATAAATAGTTTTTTTCACTCAGCAGCAGGTCTAATAGATATTAAAATATATAAAAAAATAGAAAGAATTTAATGTGAATATGTTATGACAGACTTAATTTCAAAAAGTACAAAATAGTTGTTGTACCAAATTTATATCTTTTAACGAAGGGTTAAAAAAAAATATTTAAAATTTCAGAATTGAAAATTTCAGAACCCAAGAATTCATTTTAGTTTTACAAAGTTTGTAAATATCACAGATACTACTAAATAAAATTAATGTTTTAATGTAGTGGGCTGTTTGAAAAAACTTTTTAAATAATTGAACACTGGAGATTAGATGCTATTTACAAATTAGCATTTATTTAACATTGTAAAAATTTGATTTTGATATTGCTTACTTTTAATGAGTAACAATAGATTAAATAATCAGTTTTATGACATCTATTCTCACTAGCTGCTAATATGAACTAGAAGAACACTTTTAAAATAATAATAATTAATGATTATTTGTAATGAAACCTAAGCTAGTTTGGATAAAAATAAAAGTTCAAACTAAAAATTTTACATATATATATTTTGAAAAATATATCTTGTCCCATCACAGCTTCTAAGAATAGATAGGCGTTGATTGTTAAGAATATAATTTTTCTTTTAAAAGCATTATTGAATTTTTTTGTATAGATTTCTGTATAGATATAGTAGATTTGATAGATTTTTGTATAGATATAGTTTCTTTATATTCTTACTAACTTTTGAATATATTTTACAGTGGCAGCTGTTTTGCAATAGCAACATAGCAAAGAGTTCTTTAGGGCCCATTGTTCTGAATAAAATGCTTGTGGACAATATTGGAGTATTTAATTTTTACTTTTTAAGATCTTGTCTTGCTTTTTATTATTATCTCTGTTATTTATGTACTCTCTCTATTACGTCATCTCTGTTATTATGTCATCGTTTTGAACAAATAAATAACACATCCATTCTTTTTTTTAGGAATTTTTTGTTTTGGCAATCAATTTAAACATATCTAAATTTAAAACTGACTGACAAAATTTTAAAAACTTTGGTTTAAACAGAGAACAGATTTTGAAAATCATCAATAAAAAAGCGAATTTTCATATATAAGCATAGTGGTATATGATATTTAAATCAATATTTTTTTAAAAAACTGATAAACTGACTAACTTTTCATTATTTAAGTCAAATATCATGCATTGTAATTTGTAAGTTAAATTTTCAATTTCAAATCAATCATAACTCTTATTATGACAGAACAGAGAAACTTTTCTTTTTTGTAAGAGCATTCTGTCTTCATTCTAAAAATAATTTTATTAATAAATCTTCCTAAAATTCTGTTAGAAAAAATTGTGCCTTATTTGAAATCATGTAAATTTTAAAAAAGGAGAAATATTAATAAATATAAATTTCAAATGATACTGGATTTCCAATATAGCATCTTTTACAGTTTATGAAATTGCCAATTTTGTGATTTTGATCTCATTTTGATTAGGTGTATTCTACAAGATTCTTCCATTATTCTTAAGCATTTCTGGAATGCTGTTAGTTAAATTCTGAGGTGCCTTAAAAGTATTAAAATTCTGCCCTAAGAGTATTTAGTTGTTAGGTTTTTCTTTGTATCCACTTTTATTTCTCATTCTCTTTGATATTTTATGATAAATTGTTTTATAATTTCGTACAAGACTTTAATTGTTAAAAACAAAACATTTTTTGTCAGCTGCTTTAATATCTTTTTATGAAGCCATATTTTTTAACTGAATAAATTTCATTTCTTCAGAGGTGCAGTTTCATTTGCAAGTTTCGCTTTGCGTTTTCTTTTTCAGTCATATTTCTGACACTTTATTATTCTTCATCAGAGTTGACATAATTTAAATCACCTGATTTTTTTAAATAAAAATAATTTATAATTGCTTACTTAGAGTTGCGATTTTATTATAATTTTAATTTATAGTTTTATCAAATTTAAATTTTATTGAATTTTTTCAAAAAAAAGAAATCCTGGATTTGCATAAAAATCTGCTTGAAAAAGTCAGGAGAAAATACTTTCTGAGTATGAACTCTGTGTGCTACTTCTGAATAGAAATGTTTAAATGTTCTCAGAATATAATAATATACTCTTCATTTTAAAAGGATATTTCAATTTTTATTAAATTATTCATGAATTTTCTTATTTAAATATAATTTTATATCTAACAGAATGTAACTCTCCTGAATGGGGCTATTATACTGAATTGTTTGAAATTGAACATCCCACAGTAGAAGTTCTCTTGAACTAGCCGAGCTACAAGATCAAGAAGAACTACATTTGTTGTACGTAAAATTTATTTTCCCTAGTATTTGCACTTTCCCTAACTACTTGTATTCTCTCTCTTTATGTTTAGATGTAATTTCTTTTCTTTGTTATATTTCATGCATGATATTACTTGTATGTAGTTTTTTAGTAACAATTTGATTAAAATACATCACTCTAATAAAATTTTTAAAAAAAAGAGAAAAAAAAAACAGTTTATGAAGCAAGTTTAAAGTAGTATGGAATGTTTGTATTAATGATTGAATTTTAAAATGCTTTTGGATAAATAAGTCCGTTTTATTAAATCAAGCTTTAAAGGAGCTTATATGTTTTAATGAAAAAAATTTTTTTTCTTGTTAAGGCATTTAGATTTTTTATTGTTGCATTTAAAAAGATGTGTAACAAATTGCAATCTGCCACTTACTAACAAACAGAACAAAGCTACAGTTATGGATTACAATTCTTGAAAAAATGAGTTACAGTTAAAAGAGAGAGAGGAGAAATTCAAATGAAAACTGTTTCTGAATTAAGGGAAGTAACTGAATGCCCATAATTCAATACACACAATCGTCACTCACTTTTTAATCATCACAGTTAAGAAAGTATGAAGATGCCTCAGAAGAGGTCAAAGGAAGTTCATATGAAAGAACATATTTAAAATAACATATTTTGTTATTTTATTAAACAAAAATTAGGGGAGAATATTGTTGAACAATTTAAAAATCAGTCATGTTCTGCTTTGATTCAGAAATGGTTGATGATGCATCTTTAGATTTGTTTTGAGTTAAATTTGTTAGCCAATAACAGGCTGGAATGTCTGGATGAGGCATTCTCTT